TTTGGCAGCGCCCCCGAGCGCAAACGAGACCGTCGAGGAAGGCGGCGAGGTCTCGGTCGGGAGACCCCCGTGGAGCTCGCGCTGCCCTTTTGTGAGACTCGCTTGGTTGGCTGATGCCTCGGTGTCTTTTCTGTGAAGGTAATTAAGACTGCAGCGGCTGAAACTAGTGGCGTTTCAAGGAGTGTTATCGCCACACTGTTAAAAAAAAAAAAAAAAAAAAAAATCCCCCACTTTTTAAAAAAAAAAAAAAAAAAAAAAAAAATAGGACGTTTATGACACTAATGTCTTTGAGAAAAGTCGAACTATCGTGAGTTATTTTTCCAGTAATAATGATATGACTTTTTAAAATTAATATTCTGACTTTAGTCTCTTAAAATGCATTTTGATATACTACCACTTTTAAGAGGATATTTCAACATGACAGCCAACCCCTGCCATTTGCGGGGGGAAAGTGACCAAGCCGGCCCACGAACAGTGCACACTGAAATCATTGAGGGCAGGGGGTTGGAGGTTTGAACTGGGCGATAGAACAATATATATCGCGAAAACAATCCTCTCGTGTCCATCATCACTTGTCCTTGACTAGGTGAATATTTCTTATGCAGATGATGGCAAACGGCAAAAGAAAAAAAAAATGGAATGACAAAGGAAGCTTGATTTGATGGAGAAAGCTTTCGCTTACTACGGTTGTTTCACACAGCTGACTCCAGGTGGCAGACTGAACAATTTGGGGAAATGTTAATCATCCATAGTCGCCGTTCGGGATTTCCCGATTACATTTCATTGCGCCCGAGTCTGAGGTACCTGATTTTGAGGATCTGCAATACCTTGGCAATGTAGGAGGGAGAAAAGAGCACATCCAAACTGTCTTAAACACAGTGTACAAATAATCCTTTTTGCGGTGGGGAGAGATTTTTCAAACGCAAAATGGGTGCCTTGACTCAAAGGTTCGAAGTAGATCATATCAATTACCTGCTTGACTGTTGGGTTTTCCTCTTCCTTTGGGTGTAGAGGGCAACAACAGCTCCAGGCCCTGGGTGGGTGTCGACGGGGTGGGGGTTTTGTGGTTCTTGTCCAGCAGGGGCTTGACATCCTCTTGGAGGACGCCACCGCCGCCCGACAGTGGGGAGCCTTCCTTCTTCTCGCTGAGCAGGTTCCCCGCCGCCCTGGCCGCCACCTCTTTGAGCAAGGCGGCCGATGAGGTCATGGACACGAGCGACAGGAAGGACGTCGCCGAGTTCTGCTGGTCAGCGGGCGCACCGGGCGCCGACGAACCGTGACTGCGCTCGCTGACTTTCTTGGAAAGTGCGGCCAAAGTGGAGCTCGCCGACTGCGGGCTGAACGGAGAGTTAAAGGCATCGAAGCGCACCACGTCATCGCCTCGGGGGCCGGACCCTCCGAGGGGCGGCACAACAGACGAAGCGGTGGTGGAGGTGGTGGTGGCGGCGGCGGCGGACACAGCACTCTTATCTTGAAGCACCGCGTTGGCCGCCGCTTTTAACTTCTGGATGGCCGAGTCCGGGGAGAGGCTGGACCCGCTGGGCGTCGAACGGCCGGTGGGTGGCCACTTGTCGGCGACGCCCGCCCATACGAACCCACCGCCGTTGCTGTGGGAGTTGAAGTGGTCCGGCGGCTCTTGTTTAACGTTGGTAAGCGAGGGGGCCAACGAGGCGGGCGAGGCAGAGCCACTGTTGTTGTTGGCCAGCTTGCGAGCGAGCGCGCTTAGCTGTTGAGCGTGGTGTGAGGACGGGGAGAGGGTCAGGGGCGACGCAAGGCCTATCGGCGGGGACTCGCCTCCCCGTGAGGCCCGCCCGAGGAGGTCCCCCGCATCGAGCTTCAGCGACCCGGCCTCCAAGAGGCGGCGCAGGTTGCTGCTGAGGGGCTTTCCGAGGGCGCGGGATGCCGCCTCACCATACAGCGATGACACCACCGACGAGACGGCGTCCTGCGGCGAGAAGGCGCCGCTGCCCAATCCCAGGAGTTCCAAGGAGGCGCGGTGGACGGGCGTGGGGCAGCCTGTGGGGCTCTCGTGGTTGGCATCCGGTGACGAGCCCCTCGGCAGGAAGAGTTCGTCCTGGGTGTCGCCGTAGGACGAAGACTCGGAGCGCGTGTCGGACGCATTTCCGAACCAGCCTTCCTCCTCCGCAGCGCCGCCGTCAGGCCCTCCTTCGTCATTGCTGTCCACATCTAAAGATGGAGATATTACGATGAGAAAAATGTGCAAATGCTGAGATTAGCTTGAACACACATCCCACTTTAGAATTAAGGCCAAATCCTTTTTTAGACAGGGGGTCCCAGGAATCAGTTTGCAGACAATAGATAGGGGGGAAAAAATGAATAAATAAATGAAAAATATGACATCACCAAGTCCCTGACCTTTAACCCAATCGAACATGCCTCTTAGCAGGTAAATTTTGTGCCCGAGAGAATTTTTTGTGCTATGTTGGTGTGCTGCTGTTTTGCTTAGCAACAACATTAGTTCCCATGCGTGCATCTGTGAACTGAGGGCATCGCAGATATGGGCAGAGTCAGTAAGAACGGTGCAAATGAGCCAGACGCGAAAAATGACAACAATTGCCTTGCTAAAAATGAGCTACCCTTTTGAACATTCACAACACAATGACCACCTTTTAGCCAAAATAAAATGGCTGTTTTTCACATCACTACTCGAGAGTACCCCCTACCCCCAAAAAGTTTTTGTTTAGTTTGCAAGATGTTTGAAACAAGTTTCATTTGTTAGACTTTTTTTTTTTTTCCCCAAACCTTATTCTTCCCACTCTTGGACTCAAGGAGTAACCGCGTTACCATGACAACCCAATCCATCTGGGAGGCTAGACAGCAAAGATTAGGGTAATGGAGGTTACAGAACCCCATTAATATTCATGAGCCCGCGAGATACCAACGGGGAGCCAATAAGGATAGGGTTAAGGTCACCCAGGGTCATTAATATACACTTTGTGTATCAATATTCATAAGCAAAATATTACAGCTTGCCAGACAAGGGCGAACAAAGAGGAGTGAGCGTTCCTGATACATATTAACAAAATGGTCAAGGGAAGGTTTCCTGCCTTTGTATGTTACTGGACAAAAAAAATAAATAAAATAAAATAAAAAAATCATTCGATCCAACCAATTGAGAAAATGCAAATGTCTTCACCTTTCACAGACCCACCGACCCACTCTGTGTTTACAGGCAAAAGCAAAACGGTTGCCAGGAAACGGAGCCCCGGCAACCGGTGGGGATCATTAAAGTTGGCTCGTGATCGGGCCCACGGTGGTCATCAAAAGGTGAACAAAGTCACTGCCACCATCGCTCCCCCGCCTGCATGGGACCTCCAGACCGGTTTCGTGACATTTGGTTGAACGGGAACTTGGTCGAGAAAATTTCTGTATCAGCAATCGCACGAGATCCAAATCAAAGTCTCTTGTTCACAAAAGGTCGGTCAATACGCAGCTCTGGTTGAGAGAGCCCAAGAAGGAAGGGAAAAGTAAATGTCCCAAAAGAAAACTAGTCATGGCGTTAACCATCATTTCATCACAAATGACATTGGAAGTAGACATTTAAGTCCCTGGAAAGTGGAAAATTAGGCTTTACATGGTCAGGATTTTTGGGGGCCACTCACAGCTCGAGCAGGTAAATAAACCGATCGCCGATCCGATCACAAATGAAGCAATTTCTTTAAAATAACTTGTTTAGTTACTGTATATTGTGGAACCTCAGATCACGAATTTAACATCCGCTGAGCTATGACAGCTATTCTGACGTGACAACGCCGATGTTACTCGCTTGTCTTATAGATATGCAACAAGTCTATAAAAAACATACTTGGTACATATTAGGGGCGGCCATCTCTCCACAAAAGATGATTCCATACGGCACCGAGACGGCACTGATACGGCGAAACGTTCACCTTGTCTACTTGTGGTTAAATTAGGTTTAAGGTTTCTTTTTTTTTCCCCAAGGAAAAGAGAACGATTTGATTCGGTTCGACTCGGTGGGATGACGATTCGATTCGATATGGTACTACTCCGTTTGATAGATGTCGTGAGTTTTCTTTTTTTTTGTGGTCATTTTACAACAAATGAAACGATTCGATTCGACGCACTTGGATCTTTTAAATCAAAAAAACGAATTTCTGATTCAAATTTCTTCTGTGATAGTTTTTCTTATCGCATCACAGTGTCCCATCACTGCTGAGCTAGAAAAGACCCGTTTAGCTACTCATGTTGTCCTTGTTGAGATAACACGCTCAGTGTTTTTTTTTTTTTTTTTTTTACATTAATCAAGGCATCTGTGTAACAGTCTCTTATATCAAACTTCCCTCGGTCTCCCCTCTTCCTGCATCTGTAAATGGAGGGGAAAAATGGACTTGCCTCCAATTAACTTCAAGAGGCGGTTTATTTACTCAACTCTGTAAGCAGCCAATCATATTGTGCTCTGCCGAGGAGTCACTTCAGAAAAGAAAAGCAATGAAAACGTGTGTTATTAAGTATTCATTGGAATATTACTGCATTATGATATTTTCGGTATGTGTGGCAAGAATTTTGCAAGAGTCAGTAATTAGGCGACTCTGTGCTTCACTCTTCAAGTAACTGACTTATCCAAAGCGTCCACCCTAAAAAAATGTGAACAGAAGGATGTATCTCTCTAAAGGTCCCTTTGCAATCTGAGTTGAACTGACCAGTACTGAAAGAAAGTCCGAGAAAAGTGCCAGTGTGAGTCATGCAGGGCAAGGCTCGACCCATTTCCGTGTGACATGCGGAAAAGCAGCGAGGGCCGCTAATGGCTGTAATGTGGTTAGTGGCAAATCACTAGATTGCTGACCCGAGGTGTCTCAAAGCTTTTGGGGGAGGGGGAGGGCGGGCTTGCTCTTGAACCTCGAAGTGAGAGACGAGCCAAATACTGCTGCCAATCCGGCTTTTTGCGACAACCCTTCAAAGTTTTGGCCTCACCGTAGTCAATGCAGTGGTACCTCTACTTACGAACGTCTCTTCATACGAAATTTTCAAGTTACGAAAGGCCTCGACAGGAAAATATTGCCTCTTGTTACAAAAGAAATTTCAAGATACGAAAGGTAAAAATAGAGTATGGGCTGCTAATCGCAGCTCGGAGTTTCATGAACACATCATACTTCTATGTCGCTCACAATGCTGATGTTTACCTTGGACATTTTCAAAGGATTCTTCAAAGCCGACAAAAGCAATGATAATAATAATAATAATACATTTTATTTATAAGCGCCTTTCAAAACACTCAAGGACACCTTACAATCAAACAAGAGCAATAAAACGTACTTGGCGCAGTTCTTGACAAAACGGCAGGCAAAAACCACTTCTGCGAGAGAACATGAAGTAAAGAGAGCAAAAAACGTTGAGGACGCAGTTAAAAGTTAAACGACCGTTATTTTTATTCTTTTCTCTATTCTGTTTTTTCTTTTACACTATGCACAATTCTCATTTATTGTGCAATAATCTAATTGCAACATGTATGTTTCAAATTATGAAGCGTTTTTATGCCTAAATTTTGGGAGGCTTGGAACGGATTAGGGCATTTAACTTGAAAATGCGTCTCTACTTACAAAATTTTCAAGTTAAGAAATTTCTTCCAGAACCAATTAATTTCGTAAGTAGAGGTACCACTGTATAAAGAAAAAAAAACATCTATAATACATCACAATATATATGCTTTTGGAATGTGGGAGAAGGCCAGCGTACCTGAACAAAAAACCCCATTCAAACCTGGGACCTTTTGAATGCTGGCTTGCTAGCCATTACTCCACCATACTACCGAGTACATGCATTCAAGTCAAAACGGTGACACGGACAAGGGTTTTTCATTTGGCACCAGCTCATCCATGACAACATACCACACAGCCTCAGAGATGATTTAAAGCGGATTGCACATTGGCGACAGCTATAAGTGCCTAGCCTGCGGTACGGCGACCGCTCCCCTCCGCTGACAGAGTGGCTGCGACACGGGCCGCGGCAGCTAGCATCTGCTACAGGAAAGGGGAAGCGTTTTTAACGTTTTGTCAAGGCAAAACAGCCCGCGGGGCGAACAGCGGTCTGGCCGCGTTATCACTCACAAGCACACATACGCGGGTGATTCAGCAGCACGGCGGCCAGGAATGTTCACGGGTCACACGGACGTTATAATTCTGGTGCATTGGAGACAAAGAGGGAGCCTTATCGAGTCAAAGTGCAAACGCCGGCTGCACAAATAGCGGGTCGTAATATGGTCGACGTACTGCAGGCTGCGGAGTGCCGTGCCAGGGATGTGTTTGCTGTATTAACCTTTCAACAAGCCAAGCAACGGGGAGTCAACGCCTGGAAAGGCAGCTAAAACGGAGTGACGGTGGAGCAGAAGCACTCGCCATTTGTGGATTTGGCATCATTTTCATTATTTGAGGTCATGTGCACAAAAACACATCCCCCTTTCCCCTTTTTTCGGTGCTGGTGTTCTGTTTAACTGACATTTTAACTGCATTTTCTGCCTTTGGAGGTCAGAAGAAAACGCCCAAATCGTGGATCTTGACGTGGGATTCCATAACACTGGGACACGTTTGGAGAGTTTAGCACCTGGACACTTTTTTGAGTACTTCCCCTGTTGCCCATGCGGCACCTTAGCGAAAACAGTAATCCAGAGATTGATTCAATTCTCCTGTCCCATGTGTCAATTTTTATCTTTGTTGAATATGGACTGATAATAGCGTACAGGCGGCTAATTGGTGGGGCCCTACAGGAGGTATATGCAGTATGGTCTAAATTTGAATCTACTTTCTGTCATCAAATTGTCAGGCGTGCCGGAGGCGTGGAACAGAAAATGCCCTCCGTCCGCCGGAACGCCCAGAGAGGTGCAACGCGGTCTGCCAAATTTCCCAACGGTAAACGAGACTCGTGCCGGCCAGCACGATAATGAAGAAGCGCCAGTTTCTCGCCTGTCGCCGAAAATAGGGCCCATTATGTGAGGTCGTAACAGCAGGCTCCATCTTGGGAGTTGCAGTCAGGGGAAAAGGAGGGGAAAAAGCAAGGACTGGACTAAAGGTAGGTCGAGTTGGCGGGGGGGGAGGTCACCCACCACATGACTTGTGTTAGGCTGCTGTGCTCACACGCCCACACATACATACAAAGCCATTCTGTCACTTAGCCAGGCATGAAAATTGGCCTCACTGACCTCAGGCCCTCAA